AATCTCACAGGCTACTAGTGGGTACATAGATAAATGCTTCAGCAAAGTTATAAAAAAATCTGTGTTCTTGTATTTTGTGACAAATTAATACTGTTCCAAGTTCATGACCAAAGCCATCAGACACAGCTCTTCCTATGGGAATGCTATACTAAAATTCTCATGCAGACAGATGGTCTGATGATGAAATGCCACTACAAATACACAGCCCATTGGGGTTTCATTGTGCAGGCCTGTTGACGTGGTAGATAGATTCTTCCAATGAAATCTCCCTGTGCTGTTCTGTGTGCAAACACAGAGATTGTCTCTTGTGTAGAAAGACTGGAAAAGTAATTAAGGATAGTTTGAGGAAGAACAGAAATACTAAGGATTTGTCTGGATTTCCCAGAGTTCTTTTGAATAGTCTACCAATATACCAGAATGCCATTTTGTGCCTTCTGTTGTCAGGAAATAATAACCAGAAAAAAAGGAAAATATAGATGTGTGTCAAGGGAAATATGGTGTGGTCAGGCGTGCTTGTACCACACACATTAGTGAGTGACTGAGTCTCCCCTCAGCCCTTAGCAGCTAAAGAGCTGACACATCAGTTTCTTGAGTCCTAAAATCAGAACCAGCTACTCTCCTGGAGCCTATAATGGAGACAGACATCAAGGTTACAATCAGGAAGGATGCAGAAAATTAGGCAAATACAGTTGCCACAGTTCCCATTTCTGTTGTTTTTCTTTTTCATATAAAATAGTTTAAGAATGGCATCAGTCAGTATGAAGTGTGGATTAAAATATGATCAATTCCCACTCTTCCTGCCACACAGAAACTCAAAAATTCAACTGACGGAGGTGTGGCACCATCAGCAACTGACTCAAAAAATCCCACTTCTTGCAACTTCAGGGATCATTTTTCATACACTATCCATCTATTCTCTAGCTAAATCTGACTCTGCTTAGTTCACGACTGTACCTAGAGATGGATTTTCTCTTCATGGTTTCTGTGGCCTACTTATACCCCTTCTGTTAATAGTGCGGATTGGATGCTTGGCCTCCACTTCAAAAGGTTCATTCTCATGTGCAGGATATTTTTTTTTAAATTTGGTTTGGTTGCTAAGGAGGAAGCTTTAGCATGGTAGGCAAGGATTTAGTCATATGTGAGCCACAGGGAACATTATCCTTAGAGATTAATTTGGAAATCAAGTGACAATTGGTGGGGTATGTGTTTACTTTCTATTTTTTGAAAGCTTTACAAGTACCACAGGATTTCTGCATCTTCTGAAGGAGATCTATTCTTCTGCTACATTAATAAATGACAGAGAAAACAAAGAGAGTATCATGCTTGTTTCAAGTGTCATAGATAAAATTAGTAATTTCACTGCAAATCAGAAAGCAAACTAGATTATGAGGAACAGCTCTACACTAATCAAAAGGGTGTCTCACAACCACCTTTCAGATATACTGACGGCAGCTGCCTCACTGTGAAGTTAATTCAATGAGCACTGCAAATGTAATTCATTTGGCATATATTGTTTGCTAATCAAAGAGCATTTCTTGGCATCTAAACTCTGTGTGTGACAGAATGTTAAGCCTGGAAACACATTGATAGTCCTCAAAGTGTTTCATCAGATCCAAGAAACATAATGTGTACACATGCAAGACATGCTCCTCATTCAAGTAACGAAGGTGAAATCTGTGTTACCAAATTTTGTTACACTGAACTGTGGTCCTAGGAAAACCTTACAGGAAATGGCTTACAAGAAATGGCTCTCGTATTTGTGCAGGACAGAAAGAGTCATAACTTTTAATTTCTCCTTCTTTCTAATTACTGTACCACAGAACACTACCTGTGATGACAGCAAAGCTGTGAGCAAACATTATCAGTAGAACTCTCCTGGTATATCTTCACTGAATCGAGTCTTAGGAACATGAAAATGCTGGTTTTTTGTTTTTTGTTTTTTTTTTTAATTGAGGTTATTTTGGGCCTCACAGCTTGCATATCTGCACCCTAGGGAACAGGTTAAGGAATAACATCCCTTCTCCTTCTGAAATATATTGCCTTGGAAGGCTGCTCTACTGCAGTGTGTGTGTGGACCTCCACCACCACAGGCAATCATGATGAAAAGCCATTAAACCAACCATCTTGGCTACAGAGAAATATTTCACTGTGCTCTTTTCCCAACATAAGCTGCAAAACAGCAGAATGGAGTCCGGATGGGATTGCAGCATGGGGTCTGCTCACAGATTTCCTGGTCCAGTGGATGCTGTGACTGAGGCAAACCATGCTGTCCCTCTAAGGTAGCCACTGCTCTTCAAATTATAAACAATTTCATGACTAAAAACCATCTTCAGAGATCAAAATCTGGTATGTTTTATTGCATCTGAGAGGATCTAAACTTTGCCCTCTTTTCAAAACTAAGTCAATATGTAAAAGGCCACTGTACAGGTGGAGAAACAAAACAAAATAAATTACTACAGGTTTTATGTGAAAATGCCAAAGGAACATTTCTTGAATGCAATACTTAATTTAAGGGGAAAAAAAAACCCAAACCAAAACAAACAAACCCCCACACCAGAATTATTTGAAAAATTCAACCTTATCCATTTGCATTCAGAACTTTCAAAATTCAATGGGAGGGAAGAACCCCATTCAACTGTGGTTAAAAAACATCTTCAAAAGCAAGATAATTTAATTCATAATTAAAGAATGTGCTTCACCAGCATTTCTTAATAAGGAGAAAACTGTGTAATGTATAAGTCTATGCAGTAGCTGGCAAAAAAAGTACATATGTTACCTACTTGGACACAAAGATGGGATTTGATCTAGGTATTTATTCTGAAAAGGACAAACTAATATTTTTACTGAATGCTGGTTCAAAGTAGCAAACATAGCACAGCTGGAACATACATCTTGATATCTTTTGTATGGATTACATATTTTTAAGCTAATGAAACATTAAGGCAGTGAGATTGAAGACAACTGTGCAAATTCTACTGTGTAAATTGCACTTCATCTTTTAATTGCTTGCTTATTTATTTTTTAACAGAATCATCATAAAATGAGGAGCAGTTCTGAATATATTTGATGTTTACTTTCAGACCTGTTAGCCCAAAATACAGGCTCAGTTTCTATCTACATTATCATAAATTCCAAGCCTGTTTCTTCCTACAGTGTATTTTTGTATTAAAAATAAAAATTGAAAATGAGATGCCACACTTGGAAGACTAAATATTAGCCTTGGAGATTATTTTGAAGGTTTATTTCTCTCATAATGGCTAAAAGAATTATGCAAAAAAAAGGAAACAACTTTTCATGTAGCAGATGTGACTACGCACTTGGGATCATGTGAAAAATCTCAGTTGAAATCTGGCAAAACAACATTTCCAGGTTTTTCAGCCCAATTTATTTATTGACTTTTGAAGGTAGTTACAATTTCAAGATCTGCTGCTGGGAAAGGTGTACTAAGAGTTCAATGGCTCTGGACATTCAAAGCTCAGTCAAACATACTCAGCATCTATTTCAAGTCTGCTTTACAAACAGCTTCTAAAAAGCATATTGTAAGCCAAAGATTAAGAAAACGGGGTTTGAGGGTGATTTTATTGATACAACAAGCTTTAAGAACGACCTGTTAGTTTCCTGATTGTGCTACTTCATGTTGTAAGGAACACTCGGAAAGATGTTTACATGGGGAAAGAAAATCCCTTAACAACAAGGTGTTTATTGGTAAAATCCATCAACAAAGCAATGTTTTAGTACAGAGAAGTGATCTTCAGGCTCAGGAGAGAGGGAGACTCCCCAGATGAGTGGAGCCCAGAAAACACTGACAAATGATTTACCAACAGCTGCAAGTGCAATCGCACAAGCACTTCTAAATCACATTCCACTGCTCATAAAACCTTCCACAGGTAAAACACTTCCGTCAGTGTTTTACCATGTCAGGTAAAGTTTTTACCTATTTTTTTCAAGTTAACAGCTGCTTTGGAAAGCTGCCATAAAAACAGCTCAACCTTTCTCAAATAGGCATGTTTTCTTTGCAGAACCTGCATCTTTCATCTCATTGAAGGGGATATGCTCCCAGCAAACCTTCCTGTACAGGCACATCCATGCAGAGAGCAAAACATTAGCAGGCCACTGACCCCCACTGTAATTTTTTTTAATACTCTGCAACCCTTCTTTATTTTTAAGGAGAAAAAGAAAATAGCTCTTGTGTCTTGGCATGAAATTTCAGTTTTCCTACCAAGTTGTCAAGAACATAGTCACAAATATCTGCCTTTAAGATCAAAAATTGGCTGTGATTTATCAAAGTCAGAATGGTATAAATAATGCATGTCTTACACAGGTGGCTTTTTTGGTAATGTAACAACTAATGGCCTGTCAAAAAACTATTCCACGTACAGAACCTATACAATGGTCTGCTGTCTCTTTCCTGTATGATAAATGAAGAAAGACTTTAAGGAGTCAAATTCTCTCTAAATGGTGTCCTGCTGTCTTTGACACAATGTGTGATGGTATAGGACAGAAACTATGTATCTTTGAGGCACATAAAGGCAAATTCTGCAGCATCAGGCTTAGCTGATGAGCCAGGACGAAAATTTTTTAAATCCAATATCTGAAGCCTGGTGCACAAATAGAAACTTAGATTATCTAGATCATACAGATAGATTTGTCTAGAGATTTTCCAGTAAGGAAATCCTAGACATGATATTCAGTGCTTGAGGTAAGAAACCACATTTGGAAAACAAAACAAATTAGCAAAACCTGCATTCAGAAAAAAGAGAAGATTAAACCAATCCACTAATATCTCATTATGCTTCAGAGGCAGATTTTCTTTCAAGATGCAAAAGCTTGTCCTTCAATGTGTTTCTCTTTAAATATTTCAGGATTATGCCAAGTTCTGATCAGCCCACAGTAGCATGGAAGAAATGTATCTGCTAGAGTGCCTTTAAAAGAAATTGGAGAAAGAGCACTACAAATACACATTCAGCACAGTCAGCACACCTTACCAGCCACAAACTTACCTTTCTGTGATCGTTTCTCTGAGACCACTTGCAACCCCTTTCACCACTGTACTAGCCTTTGGCGTCAGCACTACTTGAGATATGAAAAAGGAGCCTTTCTTTCTTCTCTCAGTGATTGATGCCTGCAGGAACTGAATCAACTTTTCCGTATCTGTTGTGTTTGCCCAGGGAGCTGGCATCATCTGGCCCGGCCACAGAAAGGCTACCTCGACAGCCACGGGGCTGTGGTAGAACACTAGCACTTGGTGCTCCTTTTCCCACAGGTACTGGAGGCTGACTTCGTGGGCAAATATAGCAGGACACATTTTGTTTCCGTATGTGTCTTTGAGCATCTGGACAAGCTTTTCATGATGGCATTTCTGCATCCCGTAGAAATGATTGAAGTCCAAGAAGACCACTTCTTTCGGGTGCTCAGTGAGAAACGCGTTGATCTCCTCCAGACCTTCCTTGACTTTGGCACTGAATAAACCATGAGCAAAGTAGAGTTCATTGTCTGGGTCTCTGGGCTTGGTGGAAATTCTGAGATCAAAATACCGTATACCTGCCCCCAGCTGGCTGGTGAAGTTCATGGTCTGTGTAGCCAACCACTTCCTCATCAGCTTTTTAGCCACAGTCCCAAAAACTGACACAAAATTCTGGACTGTCTCTGGCTGCTCGGGCCCAACTGGAGAGGCTTCATCAATGTAGAAGCTAAAAGAGTCATGAGACCCTAAAAACACAAGAGAGAAAATTTATCAGTATTGTACTCATATATTAAAAGCCTTTAGTACATTTTTCTCAATGAAAATAATTTTCTGACCTGTACCAACATCCACCAATCACCTCCTTTACCCTTTCCCTCAACAACAGTACATTTGTCTGGCAGCATTTGCTCCAACAACACCTTGTAAAAACTCGAAAGAAAGTCTGTTTCACTGCTTGTCTAGGTGCTCAGTCACTCTCTTCCAGCTCTTATGCCTCTAGCCTCAATGAACCCAGTAGTCTCTGAACATCAAAGCAATTCTGGTAGCAAAGCTAGTCACACAATAAATCCCTTGAGCCAAGGTGGAGAGCTTGGCCCTGCAAACAAACCAACATCCTTTTACACACAGACCTTCATAGCCAGACAAAATAGGAGTTGGAAAAAAATCAAGGAATACAATTTTTCTAATCTTAATTTCAAGTGTCATCTGGTCATCTGTAAGGTTACTGAATGCTGTTTAACTTCTTAAATTTACTTCTAAAATTCTTTCCTTTGTTAAATAAGTACAACAGATAGAGCCAAGAATAGCATTGCATTCTACTGATAAAATTCAGAAACTCTGCTGCATGCTCTTAACAGGAAAGGGACATAAAACTTAACATGCCTGTGTACAGGAGTCACTATTTTCTACAACATAAATACATATGACACATGAATACAAACACGTATGGCACTTTGCTATACAAAATTCTCTGTCTCAAGGTATGCCCATTCGTAAAACCTCACAATCTCAAAAGCCACAATTAACAGAGCTCAGCATTTAGACATCAACATGAAAGTTTTATGAAGAGATAAGCTGACCCTAGGAGATGCATATCACCTTTGTCAACCATTACCCTGCTGAACACCTGGTGTTTGCACCTGGCAGTTTATACAGAAACACTGTCCAGCTGCTGGCAGAGCCACACTCCTGCTATTCCAGCCATAGATGCTCTGGTCAGACACAGCAGCAAGCAGGTCTGCTGCTCAGCCTGAAATTCACTGCGTGCAAAACTCCTTCAAGGTCAGCAGGACTTGTATTCTGGAAATGGACTGCAGTACTAGGCACTCAGAGATCCATATCCTACATCAAAATGAGTTCAGAGCACTAGTCTTGCCTGTCACCAACGCTTTTGCAGGTGCTTTTCAAAATTACTTTCCAAAGCAAGCATTCTGTAGCAAGTATCACATTAATGCAATTCTGCTAGTCAGTCATTTCTGAGAGAAATGCTACTTTACCTGAACTGGAATAAACCCAGTAAACTGAAGCAGCAGCTATAATATTTTCTTCTTTAACAATAAATGGAGTCAGGACAAATCATCTTAGACTCTGGCTTGGATTTGGCTTTGTTTAGTCTGGGAAATGTCTTTAAATTTTGTGTGCACCTGCTTCTCGTGGTTATCTCTTTGAACTGTATTTTGCTTTAAATATTAGATAAGTTTTCCATTTTGATGAAGCTTTCTACTGCTAGGCGTTGAAGTGATAATATATTTCTTGCAGAACCTGATTAGATCACGCAGTATCTGGTTACACATTGATATCCTTGGGGACTAGATCTGCATACAGAATTCTAATTGTAAAACAAATTATTAGATCAGTGAACTGTGTATCAACAGTATTACAGGCAAAATCAATGAGATGCATTAAATGTTCTGCTCAGTGTAACCTGCACTAATCTAGAAATCAAAGTAAATCCAGTCTTGTTTAAAACAAGGCACAACTACTGATATTAGGAAGGGATGGATTTTGCAAACCCACCCTTTGCCCATTGAAGTCCATTATATTTTTGTAGTGGTTTATGCCAAATAATGTACCTGTGTAAACATGATCAATTGATTAGAGCAGTAGGCTGGAAATGGTATTAAGACTAATTAAACCATTTGTCTTTTATCTTCTGATCTGCAGACATGGGCAACCTGAAGTTGCAGAAAACGTAGTAGCAAAACTTGACCCCAGCACTGCCAGTAGGCACATATTGGTTTAAAATGCTTTAAAACTACTTTAGTCAAGAAAGGCAGTACAATTCTCACAGCAGAAAACTAAAGAGAAATACCTGTCAAGAGGTAGCTTTTAGCTACAGGTAATGAAAAACACAGAGGTGTGTGTGTGTGTGTGTGTGTGTGTGTGTGTGTGTGTGTGTGTGTCTAAATGTGAAAACACTACAGTTGGAAACACCTGAACACTGCAAGTAGAATAGGTCAAAAAAATAATTTTTCCTCATTAAAGTTTTTGTGCACATATTTGAGCCTAAAAATAGATATTCCTATGTGGACGGTAATGAGAAAACAGCACTGTGCTCTGAGAATTTCCGTGTTTTGTAACCCAAACAACAAAGTCCTACAGCATATTACAAAAGGGAAATAAAACTTAATTTGGTTGCCACAAAATGAAGCAGAAGTCAGCTGTTCAAAAGTATGTAAAGATTCTTCCTGAACAAAAAATACAGCATATATTTTGTCTTTCCACATGAATAAGTAATTTGAACAGGTCAATTAAATATTAATTTCCATCGTGCACTCATCTACATTTCCTTTTACCTTAATCTGCTCTGTTACCCCAGACAGCTTACTTGTGTAACTCACAGAAATTCAAAATCCTTACACTTAGCAGAGCAAATTAGGGTACGACCTTCTCCACTGCCATGCCCAAAATCACTATGTTCCTGGTAATGAGAAAATCCTGTACAAACATGCTTCTGGCAACCATGTTTCCTTCCAAATCTTTCTTTTGTGCATGGGGACATTCCCTCCTACATTTTCAATGGAAACTGCTCTTGCAGGTCCTCTATATCACCAAACTTTAGCCTCCATGAAGAGAGGATGCAAGTTGCATTTGGGAACACAAATGCAATGATGCCTGCAATCTTTGGAAGGTGGCATAGTGCACATCATCTATCTCTGTTATGGTAGGTTTGTACCACAGGAACTTCACAGTCTGAGACCTGGGGAAGCAAAGAGGGGAAATGGCTCATCCCAAGTCATTCAGGGAGCAAAAGATGATATTCGTCTTGTGTGCAAACATATTTTCTCACCACCTTAGTGTCTAAAATTTTCTTAAAGTATTGCACACTGTTGTCCCATTATTTCAGTATATCATTGATCCAAGAAATCAAGGATGAAGTCTCATGGATCACATGATGGGGGTAGCAAACAAGGGGTTAACATGGTGTGCACATACTGTAGACTGCCCAGTCAAGAAGAGGAAGTAGATGAAGCCTTTAAACAACTGGAAGAAACTTCATAATTACATATTTTCTTGGGGGAATTTTGAGACATTTGCTGGCAGAGCAGAACAGCAGAGTGTAGGAAATTCAGAGAGCATCAGAGACTTTTTTTTCTGCAGGTACTTCTTTAAGTAGTGAAGTTGCACTGCTGGATGTTGTATGAATTAAGGAAGAAATGGATAGGGACGTAAAGGCTGATGACAGCCTTAGACTGAGTGACTGTGAGGAGAAATAAGAATTTGAAATACTCAGGAAAGCAATGAAGGCAAAAGGCAGAATAAAGATCCTGGATTTCAGAACAACTCTCTTGGCTTGTTCAGGAAATTGGTAAGTGGTAGCCTGGAAGAACTCAATTACCTTAAATGCCAAGAGACTCAGGAGAAAGGGCTGAACTTGAAAAGCAACTTCTCTAAAGCATATGAACAGAGTGCGAAGAAACAAGAAGGTTAAGCAGGAGGCAAGTTTGGCTGAAGGGGTAACTTCTGAGTGACTTCAAACTTAAAAAGCTACTACAGAAGGTTTTAGCAAGGACAGGTTGTCAGGGAGGAACAGAGGATGAAGGCACAGAGGGAGTTAGGAAGGGAACAGCTGGGAAGGGAAACCTGCAAGGAATGAGAAAGACAACAGATAGCTTCTGCTGATACATGAGCAGCAAAAGAAAGCACAGAGAAAGCTAGTCCACTACAGAACAGGACAGGAGACCTCCTGAAGGATGGGATGCCATCCAGAGGGACCTGGACAAGCTCGAGAAGTGTGTCCATGGGAATCTGATGAGGTTTAACCAGACCAAAGTGCTGGTGCTGCACCTTGGTCAGATCAACCCCTGGTATCAGCACAGGCTGGGCATGAACAGCCCCAGAGCAGCCCTGCCCAGAGGGGCTTGGGGGTGCTGTGGGTGAGAGGCTGGACATGCCCTGGCCATGGCACTCCCAGCCCAGAGAGCCAAACGTGTCCTGGGCTGCATCCAGAGCCCCGTGGGCAGCAGGGCAGGGAGGGGATTCTGCCCCTCTGCTCTGCTCTGCTCAGACCCACCTGGAGCACTGCATCCAGAGCTGGGGTCCCTGCACAGGAGGGACAGGGACCTGCTGAGCTGAGTCCAGAGCAGCACCTTTGGTCATGATAATGATGAAAGGGCTGGAGCACTTCTCTGAGGCTGAGAAAGCTGGAGTTATTAAGCTTGGAGGAGAATAAACTGCTGAATAGCACTTTCCAGTATCTAAACGGGTCTTATTTAGAAGAGGGAGCTGTAGGACAAGAAGGTATATTTTTAAACAAAAAGAGGAGCAATTTAGATTAGATGTCAAGAAGAGGGCTGTGTTACTCAGAGGGCAGTGAGGGACTGGATCAGGTCGCCCAAGGAAGATGTGGATACCACATCCCTGAAAGTGTTCAGGCCAAGTGCTGGATAGCATTTGTAATCTGGCCTAGTGAAACATGTACCTGACATGGTTGGGTTGGAACAAATGATCTTCAAGATCCTTTCCAACTCAAAACATTCAATTATTCCATAAGAAATTATCAAGACACTTAAAATGCCTACACCAGCCATGACTCAAAGAACAGAAGTGGCCAGGTTCAACCACAGATACACTAAATTTTCATAAACTAGATATTAAAGAATAAATTGTGCAGCATGACTTCGATTCCTAGAAAACACCTGCTAGTACTTTTACTAGGGAGAACTGTCTACTGTTTTCTTTACTAGATTCCTGTAATAGGGCAGTTGGGAATTTTTAACCCACTACAGCTAACTATGGACATATT